GAAGAGTCTTTGATTTACTGCCACTCTTCTTTTATGTTATGGATTATTGTCTGACATGGGGATTAAAATTATTTATTTATAATTGAAAAAATGATATTTATGATTCTTAATCGATCTATAAATTTCAGTCGCCTTGATTCCATGTTGTAAAATTTTATAGTTTAAACTTGCAAGTAAATGCTTAAAAACTAGACTACGAGAAACTGTCTGTTGAGCTTAAAACTCTAAAAAAATGTATACCTTAGATTAAAATATTACTCTAAGATATCACAAAAATTTTAATTTGTTTGAGTAATCTAGATTTTTCCTCTTTCACGTTTCGTCTTTTGTGAAAATAATTACATGTTTTAAAAACTAAATAGCGCTGTAAATTAAAGATATTATCAAAAAATTATGAAAAGGAAATCTTTTTATAATAACATCTTATTTAAATGCCACATGATTAAATTTAGGACATATTTGTGAAATATAGGTCTTAATTATTTAAAAAAATTATGCACTTTCTACTGAATTTTTTCTACTCAATGCCGAACAATTATAATATATTATATTCTGCATAAATTTTCGATATTTATAAAAATTTCCACACTACTTTTAAATTTTTTTTCTCTCAAAACATTGAAAAAAGCTATTTGTATTAAGGTTTCAAATTCTGTTTTTGGAAGTATTCTTGTGAAAAAATAATCCAATAAATTACTACATCCCATCTAAAGAAAAATATTCTAATTTTTAACCAAGGTAAAAAAGATATATAGGTAAACTGATAGTAGGGGATCTTAATCACTAAATTTTGGTTAAGTAATTATAATATTCCTCTTTATCTCCTTTTATTACAAGCCATATAATTTAATTCATTCTCCAAATTTTTTTTATCAAATAGGATCAAGATTTTTAATTTAGTAAAACTTTTTTCTCAATGAAATTTGTCTTACCATTAAAAGTTTGATTTCTTATTTATATAATTTGGTTTTATTTTTGAAGGTTTATTATTCTTGATAAATTGACAGTAGTAATTTCTACTTAAAACATAAATTGTAAACGACCAAAATTTTTAAAAGACTCAATTATTTAATTCTGTAATAATTAAAAGTAAAATTCTCAAAATTGTCTGTACAAATTTTGCTGCTTTATATGAACATTTTCATTATATATTGTTGTATCCTCGCGAATAACTACCCCAAAGCAGGTAAGAGGGGTATAATGACTTCTTTAAAAGATAGAAAGTTTTATTTAAATAGGTTTGTTTCTTTTTGTCATCATCCTTAAGCGGAATAGGTATTTTATAAAAATAAATTAATTATTTATTATTAATTTAATTATATTATTTCTAACCCAAACCCTATGTTATAGTTTATAATAGGCAAAATAGTTACACAAGAAATACTTTCTACGTTTATAGGTCTCTAATTTAGTGCCATTGCATAACTATGAATTTTTATTGACTTTATTTTTCTCCATTATTTTTCTGAGCAAAAATTCTTTATATGGAAAATATTGAATAAAATCCAAAGAACCAACCAAAACGAAATTAAAAATGCAACCTGATTAAAAAGATATAGAAATTATAAATATATCCCTTTATGTTTAATTTATTAGCTAAGAAATGAAAAAATACAATTCATTTGCAATATTAAAAATAACTGTAGTAAATTTTAATATATCATATATTATATTTGATTCTAAATTTTTGTATTTAAAAGCAATCGTTGTCTTTAAAATATTTCTTGTTTGTTTTTTTGTTTATATTTGATTTTCATCATTTTTTTCGATATTTAAAATTATATCAACTATTTTGGTATTTTTATAATTAAATCATCATATTTAATTTACATTTAAATAAATGATGTATTAATTAATTAATTTCGTATCCTCATTTATATCAACATAGAGCAGATAAAAGGTAAATAAACTTGAAGTAATGATCCAAAATTCCTTTAATTGTTTGCTAGAATATTTCTTAATCTTTATTCCCTAACCATTAAAATCATTTTTGAGAGTAAATTAATTAATTCTATTGATCCCAATCTTTAATATCTATTTTATGCCTTATTGCAAAAACTAATTTAAATCCATTATTTTAAAATATTTATTAGTAAAATAAAATATCAAAAATCCATTTAAATTTAAATATTTGATACACATTAATAAAATGAATTATCATTTTAATCTATTAAATGTACCAATAATTAAATTAAAATAAAACACACAAATATTCATCACAAAAAAAATTAATTAAATTTTACTTATTAACATTTTACTTAGTTACTTCTAAAAAAGGGATGTTGAAGACATTCTCTTGCAGTTAATCTAGTAGAATGGTCATAAACAATTATTTTGTTTAACAAATCAATTGCATCTTTCTTTCTATTAACAGCTTTATTTTTCTCAAAGACATCTTCCCAGTCTCGCTTTTTTGATTCTTCTAGGGAATCATTCACTTCATTAGAAAGTTTGATTTCGTATTTTGAGCAATATTTAATCAAATCGGTTCTTCCTAAAATCTCAACAATTTTTGCTAGTTGGTTTATGTCATCTTTGCCTGCAAAAATCGGTCTCTTTCCAAAAAGCAATTCTGCAAATAAGCAGCCAAAAGACCAAATATCTAATGAATAATTGTAGTATCCGTATCCTACAAGCAATTCAGGTCCTTTGTAATAACGAGTAGCTACTCTTACCGGATAACAATTTCCTGGATGGTAGAACTCTGCTAATCCCCAGTCAATAACCTTTAGGTGCCTAGTTTCAGGATCTATTAATATATTCTGTGGTTTGATATCCCTATGCATTATCCCTTTTGAGTGTGCATGCTCTAACGCTAGAAGAATCTGTCGGGAATAGTGTATAATATCCTCTTCATTGGCATTCTCAAAAATTGTAAGCGTATTTTCATGATTCAAATATTCAAAAATCAACGAATGAGTTTGTGTATTAAAATCAACTACAACATCTAAAAGGCCAATAATATTTTCATGTTCTAAAGATTTAAGAATTTTAACTTCTCTATTTACCTTCGCAATTTTAATTGGTTTAAGTACCTTGATAACTATTTTCTTATATCTCTTTTTATTCTTTATTAATGGATCACTATCATCGATTCCATCAATTGCTCTTCCTTCAAAAACTTCGCTATATTTTCCCCTTGCCATACGTTTATAAATTCTGTAATTTTCAATATCTCCGAATTCTAATTTATAATCAGTGTAATTGTAATATTCTTCTGCTTGTAGTTTGTTGTAATCACTATTTTCACGAGCTACTGATATTTTAACCATTATTGTTTGGGGTTTTATTTTTTAAAACATAATTTATTATTAATAAAAATCATTAAAAAAGGGTACAGCCGGATTCGAACCGGCGACCTACAGATCTGCAATCTGCTGCTCTACCACTGAGCTATACA